ACCCCCAGCTGTGTCTGGGATGGACCCTCCTCTGCAGCTGTGCTGACCCCCAGCTGTGTCTGGGATGGACCCTCCTCTGTAACCATGCTGACCCCAGCTGTGTCTGGGATGGACCCTCCTCTGCAGATGTGCTGACCTGACCCCCAGCTGTATTTGGAATTGATAACCAGCCTCTCCCTCCAAACACTTTCTTCTCTGGATGCCATGACTCACATTCTGCCCCTCCCCCACCCCAGTGGCTGCCCCCTGTTACCCTCTCATCCCTCCGCCTCCTCCTCTCACTTTCCAGAGGGCGGGGCTAACTAGAATTATGTCTCAGACTACATGTGCTTCTGGGGCACCAAGTCTAAACCCTAGAGAACTTACTCCAGTGCAGCGATCTCAGGCACTTCTGTTTCCTGCTACCTGAAATCCCTATCTTAACCCCTTCCTCTCCAGTGTTTTCAGACAGATGTCTGTAAGCCGGTGGTCAAAACGTGCTCCGGCCCCTCCTCTCCAAACACTGCAGTTTTCTCTCTTGTCTTCTCCCACTGCCCTTCCTCCTACTCAACAAGCTAATCACTTTTAATATTTCAGGAATACTTAATGTCCAGCATAGCCCATAGTCCTTCCTCCCTCACCACTAGGGATCACTCCCAAAAGGTCCCCACACTTCCCTACCCCTCGGACAACGCCCTCACTCTGAATTGCAACTAATCTTATTCTCACTCTTTCCCCAGCTCAAGCAAGAGCGTATCTTCAGGATTTCCATAGAAGGGTTTGTGTGTGTGTGTGTGTGTGTGTGTGTGTGTGTGTGTGTGTGTGTGTTCATGTATCCACATAGAGACTAAGATGGCTGCCTCTCCTAACATGCTGAAGAGCAGACCCTGAGGAGAGGCCTCCTGAGGTTGAACGTGGGAACTGTGGACAGCAGATTCGCAGTGACAGACCCCCCGAAATACCTTGTATATGGGATGCAGGCTGGGTAAGCTCCTCATTGTGGCCACAGAGATGACCTCGGCCATTAGATGCCCCCTTAGCAGATGGGACTGTAACTGGTGCAGCTGGAAATCAGAGCTTCGAACCCAGATCTTGGCCAGGAGCCAGGCCATGGGAGGGTCTGAGGGCAGGAAGAGCAGAGGTGGGGAGCACCCATGTCGGGGAGGCTGGAGCTAGAGCAGGAGAGAGAGGAGGAGCTGAGAACCTGCGTGTCTTAACCCACAGGGAGTCGGTGTTGGGGAAGACGTTGTCCTCGGACCTGGATGAGCATGGGCGAGAGGCTTCCATCAGGCTCCAGCTTCAGCATCACCAAAGGGGCTGCCACATACTGCTGCTTAAAAATGATGATGTTGGGCTTGACTCCATCCAGCAGGGAGAAGTCAGCTTCAAACAGAGAGCCAGCCTGTGGGATCGGATCAGGGCAGACGGAGAGGCGGAGTCAGTTCTGAACCTGCCTTTCTCTCACTTGCCTAAGTGGGTCCTCTCTCTACCACCCAACAACTTTACTTAAAGCAACTGATCTCCCCAGAACTAAAGCCCTGGGTGTACTGTCTGGAGCTTGGACCTCCCTGAGGTGAGGTTTCTGCCGTCTACCACGGATCACAATTCCCAGCCTATGTCCTCACACACACCCCCACAGGCTTTAGCCAAATGTAGCACAGATTGCTCTTTACTCCCTTCTCCCAAAAATAAGTCTATTTTTTCAAATCTCTACTTAGTGCTCCTCCTCCCCTCCTCCTCCCCTCCTCCTCCCCTCCTCGCTCCCCCTTTCTTTTCCTCCTCCTCCCCTCCTCCTTCTCCCCTCCCTTTTCTCCTCCTCCTCCTCTCCCTCCTCCCCTCCTCCTCCTCCTCTCCCTCCTCCCCATCTTCTCTCTCTTCTTCCGCCTTTCCTTTCTTTGGGACAGCCTCTTTGAGACATGATCTCATAACATAGCCCTAGTTAGCCTGGAGCTCATGATCTACAACAGGCAGGGCCTTAAATGTGTGTGAATATTCCTGCCTCTGCCTCCTAAATGGGAATACTTCCCTATGCGGTAAGGGTTTAGTAGTTACCCCTGCCTCTTACCTGTTAGATGTCAATAACACATCCTTTGTGACAACCAAAAATGACTCTAGACATTGCCACAGATAACTTTGTGCCTCCCTACCCCCAAACATTTGGCAATGTCTAGAGTTATTTTTGTTTTGTCACAAAGGATGTGTTATTGACATCTAACAGGTAAGAGGCAGGGGTAACTACTAAACCCTCACTGCAGAGGAAAGTACCCTAAAACAAAGGATTATATAGGTCATAAGAATGACATAGAACCAACGTTGAGAAACCCCAAGTGCTGATGATCATAACCCATCACTTTGTATGCTAATCTAAAAAAAGTGATTTAAAAAAGAACCCCTGAATGCTGATGAAGGTGGGTATAGATGATGGAGGTGCACATGAAAGAGAGGAGGGAAGGAGGGGAGGGAGTAGAAGGCAAAGTGGCCGGGATGGGGGCGGGGTGAGGGGTGGGGGTAAGCCGAGGCAGCTCACACCTGGAGCTCCTTCTCCAGCTGGCTCTGTAGGTCTTTCATCTCCGGAGGCAGGACCAGCCGGCCTGGAAGGCTCTTAGAACGCCTCAGGAGCATAGGGTTCGCACCATTGAGGAACTGGTACCCAAAGAGGGCATCCTCCTTCCAGGACTCACGAACCCGCCCTGAGGGCATCAGTGAGAACACCGTGTGAGCGCTAAATGTCTCCTCCCACTAGCCCGCCCGTTCTGCCCTCTCTCCCCTCTCCTTTCAGACCCCTGGCTTGGAATTCTGGGTAGAGACTTTGGGAAGTTGTGGTAACTGACCAGCCAGAGCAGTCTTTCCACATGGGAATATTCTTTTGTAATCTTCCAGGTTTCGTACACGACTTAGAAAATCTAGAGTCCCCTTAATGGCAAAATCCTTCAGCCTGCGCAAAGAACAGCATGCGAGACAGTCAAGAAAGAGTTCGCCTTGCAGCTTAAGGCGAAACTGTGCAAACTCAACCAAATACTCACACTTTGGCCAGAGAGAGGGAAAAATCTAAATCCTTATCCTCCATGAATCTCTGGTTCCTGGGGAGGTCCCACTGTGTATTCCCTGCTATAGGCAGGATTAAGCCCTCCTTCCAGGAGCCCCACCTAGATGACGAATACAGAGTCCCGAATGAGGTGGTTTGGGGACGGGGTAGGGGGTCTGGAGGGCGATCAAAGGCTTTCTGGGACTCACCGGTACACCTTCCTTCGGTCCTCCATCTCCTGCTCTCGATACTTCCTAAACAGGCTCCGAGTGTCGTCGTTTACCTTCAGGGCTGGGAGAGGCCGACACAAGAGCTTGCATCCTCTCAGGACACCACTCTGGGTCAGGGTCGCTCCATCTTCCCTTCTCTTCTTCCCCCCTCGCCCTCATCTCTCTAATCTTTTCCTTTTATTTATTGCATAACACGCCCAACCACCTCCTGCTTCCTTCGGCGTCACCCCGCAGCCCTCACCAGTGCCCTCGGCTAGGTAGATAGTCTCGTTGCTCTGCACCCAGCTGTAGCAGGGGAAGTAGACCTCTCCTTGGGTCCCAGGGCCCTGCACAGTGACCCACTTGCAGAACCAGTCAGAATCCAATAGGCCTTTGTGTTTGTGCATCTTTACCAGCAGGAGGCGCCCTAGATGCACCGGGACGTCGATCTCCAACTCCGTGTTCTGTGGGATAGGACACAGCTCCTCAGCAAGTCTGGGGTCCTCAGTAAGGGCAGCGGTGTCAGTGAGCCCCCAGAGGCTCTTGGCTCCGCTTGCCCTTCTAAGAAGCACCCCAGGAAACAGACCTGAACCAAGTGGCGGCGAGGAAGGAGCTGGGCACTCAGTTGGGCTCCAGGCTCCCTGTGCACCTGCCGCACGCCCCAGCCGTGACTCACCCTCGCCCCTCTTTCTGCCCAGCCCGTCTCTCCGGCTCCTTTCACGGTCCGCTTTCCTCACAGTCAGTCCACCTGCACCTAACACCATCCCAGGCCCACCTTCTCTGGGGTCAGACTTCCTCTCCCCTCCCCAGTCCTCAGAACCTCTGCGGAGTCCCAGATCCCCGGGTCCCTGAGAGCCCAGCCTTTGCCTGCGCTCACCCCTCTCCGCAGTGGTCGCAGCTGTTTCCCAAGTGCTGTTTCCCCATGCTCGCCCACCAGCCACAGCTGCACCAAGTTGCTGGAGCCCGCCAGAAGCGAGTCTCCAGTGGCCACCCGGATCATGTACTTGCCCATCTCGGCTGGTCCTCTACAGGGACCTGGGAGAAAAGCCGCTTTTAAGAGGATCTGAGAGCCAGCCTCCAGGGAGCCACACCTAGACCAGTGTGTTTGGGTTTCCCACACACACACACACAAGTCCCTCCCCCACTAAGGAGCAGGCATCTAGGTCTCCCATTAGTTTCGAAAAACACAGCCCCACCTGTTTCTCTTGGCTAGGGCTTCATGTCCCACCCAATTTTAGGGGAACCCAATTAAAGAGCAGCAGACGGTGGAGATGAGGGAGTGGAATGGCCTCGGATGGGGGCGTGCTTTTCAGTGGAAGTGATCATACCCTTGGCAAAGACGCAGAGGTTTTGTTGAAACTTGGTAGCCAGGAAAAGGAGTTTGAAGTTTCGATTGGACCACCCTGAAACGCGATCTTCGAGGCCACGGCTTTAGGCTGAGCACCTACAATGTGCCCTGAGGGTGTACTCCCTTCAGGACTAAGTCTTCCCACCCCACCTCCCATGGTTTGACCACCTTCCTCCTCAGAACAAGTACCGCTCACAGGTACACCTTTCCTCTGCTGGAGCACTCCTGCTGGGAGCACTCCTGCTGGGAGCACTCCTATGGCCCTATACTTGCCTCTGTCCAGGTCCTCTTATGCTACTGTGGGCAAAAATCCCTGAATCCACTGTGGTTTTGCTTAAGAACTACCCTTGCCTCATGTTCAAAGAGTCGGTCAAAACAGGTGGCTAAGACCCAAATCTAAAAGTATAGAGAGATACTTTCTTGGACAAATCATCCATGGAGAGTTAGTTGATGTTAATTTCCGGTGAAGCAGGTGCCTGGAGGATCTTGTGGAACAAACACTAAATGCAGCATCCATCTACATCTTTACCGTTTTTCTCTCAACCTTGGTTGGTGTTTGTTTTTCAAGACGGTTTCTCTGCGTAGTCCTGGCTGTCCTGGAACTTGCTCTGTAGACCAGGCTGGGCTCGAACTCACAGAAATCCTCCTGCCTCTGTCTCCCCAGTGCTGGGATTAAAGGCATGCACCACCATGCCCGGCCTTTTTATTATTATTCTTTTTAAAGTTGTCTTGACTACTTCTCATCAGTACCTGACAGTGCTTTTTAAATGATTCTTGTTTATACAGTCAGCTAAAATTTCATTTGAGTCTAATAAAAATTATAGCTATGCTATATGGCTATACTACCATTCCATTGCTAATATTTGTCTATAAATTGCAAAATTTTACAATAATCACAACTGACATAAACAGTTGAAAACTTACATAACTTTTTTTTTCTTGAGACAGGTTCTCACTATATACCATATAGCCCAGGCTACCTCTGCTCTGCAATTTTTCTGCCTCAGCCTCCTGAGTTCTGAGCAACTGTTCTTTTTCATATGGAGTGTGTGTTTGTGTGTGTGCATGCACATGTGTGGAGGCCAGAGGAGAACTTTTGGAGTTATCTTCCTTTATGTGTTCCACTTTATTTCCTTGAGACAGGGTCTCTCACTGATCCAGAAGCTCACTGTTCTGTCTAGGATGGCTGGCCAGTGAGATCTCAGGACCTGCTCATCTCTGTCCCCCAGTGCTGGGATCACAGGCACACACAGCCACACCTAGCTTGTTTTGTGGATGCTAAGGATTGGAAATTAGGTCCTCACACTTACAGAGGAAAGCACTCTTGTCCATGGAGCCATCTCCCGGCCCCAAACAACTATTCCTATAGACACACAGTTTACCTGGTGGGCACTGAACTGTCACACAGCCTCCTTGCTATGTGCATTTATCATGCTGAAGACATGTCAGTCTTTTTGGAGGCGGTAACAGGGTGAGTACCCTGAAAGGTTAGCCAAGGGTTTGGATCTTAAACGTCCCTCAAGAGCTCCTACGTTCCCAGCCTCACCCCAGCACGGCAATGCTCAGAGGTAGGGTCTCTGGGAAGTGACTGAGTCAAATTGCTCCCCCTGACTCTTCCTCTGAGCCTTCACGTCTCACGTTTGAATCACCCATCCACCAGTCACAATTGAGACTTCGTTATCTACAGTGTTGCGTAGAGTGTGCCTTGTCCTGCCCACCCTTTTCCCCAGCACTGAGACTGGAAGGAGAAGAGAAGCCATCAGCTCCTGGGGATTTCCATGTCCTGTCAGACCCACATGGGTTCCAGGAGACACCCACGTCCTTCCAACAAGCCTCCCTTTGTTGCTTACGTCACCTTGCAGTGTGCTTTCCAGAACAAGATTGGGCTCCTATCGGAACTGAGTCCAAGTTACAGACACATGGAAAGAAACGAGGGACTCGATGATGGACTGACCAGTACAAAGAGGCCCACACGCAGGCCTGGGCAGTCAGGCCCGAGCAGTCTGCCCCGGACACCAAGGGGAAAACACGGGCTTCCCAACGCAACTGTTATGGTGAGGAAATGTATGGTATGTATGGGAGAGAGAGAAAGAGACTCATGTCCTGTGGACAGAGGCGTATCTGAAGAGGTGAAAGTGGTGAGGAGCAGGCTGAGGTGGGTGGCTTGATTGCCACACAAGGCCATGGTGATGTCTGGCCCTGGGCTGCTGCTGGGGCCCATGTCTGAGTTCATGGCCCTGATACAGCCTCGGTCTGTGTTGATGTCTGTGACTCTAGACACCACCAAAGGCCCAGAGGATAGGGCCTTACAGTGTTGGCCCCGGCCCCTCACTGGCTGCAACACTAAGGAGAACTGGGCCTGCCCCTCAGCCTCTGAAGCACTCAGGAGAGAGGGTCCTACACCTCACCTGGGCAGCACAATAGAGCTGATCCTATTCACAGGGGCATGAGCAAGCTGGACCTGAGAGCATGAGAAGGGGAGAGCAGGTCATGCCGGCCATGTGGTGAGGGAAAGATGCCTCCCCTCACTCCTCACCACCTGCAGCAGGTGGGAGACCTGACCCTACCCCTTACCAGCTGCAGCACTTGGGAGAACGGGCCTCGCCAGGGCGCCACAGTAGGGCTGACCCTGTAGACAGGGGTGCAGGTAAGCCAGCTTTGAGGACGTGAGAGGAGCAGAGCTGGTAGGGCCTCCCTCATCTGTGGTGTGGTGGTGGGGGCAAGGGAAAGATGCCCTCCCCCCTCCCCGCTACTGCCTCCAGCTGGTGAGGGAGTTGACAAGGCACACGAGGTAAACAGCAACATGCAGACAAAACACTTATACACATAGAACGGGGGGGGGGTATGGGAGATGGTTGAGTCATAAAGCCCTATGGCCCAAGCTGCAGACCAGGGTTGAAGGTTGAGTCATAAAGCCCTATGGCCCAAGCTGCAGACCAGGGTTGAAG